GTACGTCTGTCGATCTCGACAGCGCACCAGTGTTGGTATATTGCAATTGACCTTCTGCTGCGATTAAATGCTGAAGGTCTCTGCTTGGGCTCCATTGGACTATTGGGCCGATGACAATGTCTGATCTCCAGGTTCTGAGCTTACGGAGGAACCACAAGGCCTCGTCTGATGCTAACCAGCCCTCATCCTGCATCGCAGCGGCACATCGTTCATTGAACGGTGGGTTTGGGTCCATATGGACAATTTGGCACCTGCCCCAGGCCGGGTGTCCCCCACGATAGATGGCTCGGCTCCATCCATTGAAAGATCTAAAATTGTGTCCATTTGATATCCTCTGTAGCATGTTGGCAAATGACAAAAAAGGATCTGGTTGTGCAATATCGTTGTTCCGATATAGAACTTGCGGAAGTTGCTGCTCGAAACTCCTACGGAGTAGGCGGATATAAACTTCCTGCAAGCTGGCATCAACCACTGCGTCTGAAGAACCATAACTTGGGAGGTTAACTATCGGTATCGGTAAATTGTCAAGACGACTACGTGCGACCGGAGCATCAACACAAACGACCCTAGAGTCTGATTCCAGCGGAGTTGTCTGACATGGGTCGAACGGCAAAACTAAGTTCCCATGACTGCAATTCTTGTCAGAGAGGTAGAAGTGGTTGTCACCGGGTACAGCCCCACTAAATGTGGTAAAGTGTAATGGTCGATGGTCACGTCGGTGTCCACCCAGCCGCAATACGATCATCTTGGTTGTGAGATGAAGTCGTCATCAACTCAGGAGATCGCAGTAGACTTGCTTGAGCGACGGTGTGAATGTGAAGATCAAAAATCGGAAGAATCTCATCGTTGCAAATGGTTTAAACACCAGAGAACAAACGGTTGTCACTGGGTACAGCCCCACTCCATGTAGTATCTTGTTGTGGACACGGGCGATTCTCTGGAAAGGACAGATTGTCAAACCCAGGTAAAACTGGTCGTCCTGCAGAATGATGTAGCTGTGTTCTCAACGGCACGAAACTGCAAAAACTCCCTGCTGCATTGTTGACTGATGATTCATCCGTAATGTTCACGAGACATGACTCAATGTTGATCTGAACTTGGTTCGAGTCAGAAGGCCAGAAAAAGGCAGATGGGCTTGTTGAAGAATCTGTCAAAATTTGAGAAAGTGCAATATCAGTAAGTGTCGTCAACTCGTTAAACCTGTGTTGCCAGTTCCGGGCGGAAGGTGAAGTACACGGCCGAATGACAGCTGACTCCAGTAGATGGCTGTGCGAAGTCTCTTCGAAAGCATCTACATCATCAGGCTGAACTGACTTGTCTGTTTGACCAATTGAAGAATATCGATAAGTTGTCATTGTATGACAAAGGTCGAATAAGATGTGAGTATCATCGTCGGAGTCGTTGGAACGGTCTGGAAGCCTATAGTTGTCATTGGGTACAGCCCCACTAGATGTGGTAAAACGGTGTAGAGGATGACCTTGCCCTGAGAAAGTTGTGCTGAAGAAACCATGGAGATCAGCATCAGGTCGTACACAAGGCTGCAGACATGACTCTTTGGTGATCTGAACATGGAGCGAGTCGTGACGCTCCAATGAAGCGGAACAAAATGAGGCACCAAGCTCAAGATCGTTGCCTAGCCACCTGTCGTTATAGTACCCATCGAAGTTGTAATCTGCTACAAGAAGGAACTTTGAGCTGACGTCAAAATCAGAGCTTGCTCCCTGAAGATCATCTGAATACTGGCAGGCTGACATCAGTGGATCTGGGTCTGAAACTCCTCGCCAGGAGATGGTGTAGTAAGCGGGTACAGCCCCAATACATGTGGTTAAATGTAGTGGAACTGGATGTAGACTGCCAATCTGATGTCTAGGTCTCTGCCGTGAAACACAGCATGCTTGTTGACTATTAATAGCCTCTTGTGCCAGACTAACAACTCTCGGTTCCAACGCTGCACTGAACTGCGACCACCGAATGTCTGCAATGTTTCCTGATGGAGTGTTGTTGTGTACGGGTACAGCCCCCCTAGAGGTGGTATAATGTTGTTGACATAGCTTGAGGTGGTCATCTCGTCTCAGTAGAACTGTACACTTGGGTGGCCAGGATTGATCCTGTTGTGTGTCAATAGCTGCAAGGTCTTTGAAGTATGCTGTATCATACGAAATGGATTCGGACTTGAGGAGCAAATGAGGAGGAATGAAGGCATCTCGTACAGCTGTCAAATGGTCTGTACAACTCATGTTGCTATTCAAGTTCATCGTTTCGACCCGGAAGTCTGTCCATGACGAAGGGCAACAAACGGGCAAAAGATCGGGATTGTTGTCACAATAGTGTGAGTCATCAGGCGGAGTAGCTGAAAAGCCAACTAACTCAATCGAATTTGGCGACCAACACATTGCTGATTGTGAAGGCATAAATGGTGTGGTGCCTTCTGCAGTGGCCTCCTGTGGCACTTCTTGTTGTTCACTGCAGACATGAACATGTTTGAAATCCTGTGAGGATTGCAATTCATGTTGTGCATAGGCAAGAGTCCTGACCTGGGTCAGTGCACAGTCGAATGATGCCGAGGAAGGATGTTCACGAGATTTCTTTACTGTGTGCATCTTGATGTTTCGATTCCTTGGAACAATAGCCTTTTCTTGACACGGATGGCATATGGATGTCTCTGGAGTTTTGTAGGGACTAGAGTGAGTCCATGGCGTCCCCCCAAACGAGTCGTCACGAGTTCTGGGTATTCGCGAAGGCAAGTTGTTCGAATGGAGCTGATATGTCTTAGAAAGCGGAATCGAGTGAAATCTAGAACGGAATTGTGGGTCCCGAGACTGATGAATCCGATTGGATCGACAAAACTGGTGAAGGTCAAAGATATCAAGGGACCGGGCTTCCTTTGTCTGGCAATCTTCGACGGTTTGATTCCAATAGGCCTTGACAAAATCGCTTTCCTTCATATCCTCGCCAGCAGCTGATGGTGTATACTGGGAAGTCTCATTACTGACAATTTGAGAAGAAACCGAGACCGGTGGTGGGTCAGCTTGTATAGGATATGACATCAAACTGTGGCCCTTGGTGCTCAGTGCAACTAAATGGTAAAGACCACTTATGCATGCAGTACATGTGGAAGACACACGTGAATTCAAATGCAAGGGTAGCTTCTCATTTCGAACAGCGTCAAAGAGACGTGGCATGGAATGATAGACATTGCCAGCAGATGTACTGGAGGTAGAGGAACGGAAATCAAACCATTCAGGCCCACGGTGGTCTGGATGGGATATCTCATCTGATTGATGTCCCTGTCTAAAATTCCCATGGCAGTATGCCCATAGTTCATCGTACTCAGGATATTCTGGATCATGTGAATGCGTGCATGGGGAGATCTGAGGTGTCAAATGAGCGTCCATGTCAATGACATATCGTTTCTCCTCCCCACTTGCTGTGTTGCACGATGTGTGAAGGGCCTCAAATTTGCCTTCCATCCATGGTTCTGTGAGCTCGTCGGATTGAGAGACCAAGCCATAACCTGCTTGCTGTTCCGACGATGCAAACTGTTGGGCCCAAGGTTCGAAAAAATCTTCGATTGGACGGTAGTCAGGATTCCACTTCTTTCCGCTGAGCTTTGGGATATCCCTGGTCAGGAAGAGGTCTTCCGGGAATGGCTCAAAAGGAGACTGACAGCCAAACCGCAGCTTACCACATTCATTCCAAAACACTATCGCTGTTGCAGCGTCTGAATGAAAGAAGTGGAGGAACCGCTGTGGAACCTTGAGCTTCAGCAGGACACCTTCTGGATCGACTGCAGTCAGAATGACAAAATCTCTTGTACGCTGCAGGACCTGGCAGGGAACAATGTTGAAGTGTCCTGCTCCCTTCCAACAGGTTGAGTGTCGCCAGGATGTGGAGATCGGCAGAACGTCGAGTGCCATGGCTCAATCGGCACCACCGTGAAAGACACGGTGGCAACGGGCGTGCCACGTGTAGGCTTGAGCCTAACGCCTCTGGCCATACTACTAGGAGCATCCTTACTACTAGGAGCAAGGACCCGCCTAGGGGCTCCTGGCCATACTACTAGGAGCATAGGAGCAAGGACGCGCCTAAGAACTCCTGGCCATACTACTAGGAGCAAGGCCATACTACCAGGAGCATCCTTACTACTAGGAGCAAATACCCGCCTAGGGGCTCCTGGCCATACTACCAGGAGCATCCTTACTACTAGGAGCACGGACGCGCCTAGGGGCTCCTGGCCATACTACTAGGAGCATCCTTAGTACTAGGAGCAAGGACCCGCCTAGGGGCTCCTGGCCATACTACCAGGAGCATCCTTACTACTAGGAGCAAGGACGCGCCTAGGGGCTCCTGGCCATACTACTAGGAGCATCCTTACTACTAGGAGCAAGGACCCGCCTACGACCTCCTGGCCATACTACTAGGAGCATAGGAGCAAGGACGCGCCTAGGAGCATCCTTTCTTCTTGGAGCAAGGACGCGCCTAGGGGCTCCTGGCCATATAGGAGCATAGGAGCAAGGACGCGCCTAGGGGCTCCTGGCCGTATTGCTAGGAGCATCCATACTACTAGGAACAAGAAACTCCTAGGGGCTCCTCGCCTTACTACTAGGAGCAAGGGCGCGTCTAGGGGCTCCTGGCCGTACTACTAGGAACATCCTTATTACTAAGAACAAGAAGCTCCTAGAACCTCCTCGCCTTACTACTAGGAGCAAGGGCGCGTCTAGGGGCTCCTGGCCGTACTACTAGGAGACTCCTTACTACTAGGAACAAGAAACTCCTAGGGGCTCTTGGCCTTACTACTAGGAGCAAGGGCGCGTCTAGGGGCTCCTGACCGGACTACTAGGAGCTTCCTTACTACTAGGAACAAGAAACTCCTTACTACTAGGAGCAAGGACGCGCCTAGGGGCTCCTGGCCGTACTACTAGGAACATCCTTATTACTAGGAACAAGAAACTCCTAAAAGAAGGGGCCACGCACCCGGCGCGAGTAGCCGCCACGCACGCCTCGCAGGCGGACAGCAGGTCCATGGAGACGCCCCCACAGCGCAAGGCCCGGCGTCGGCCTCGCTGCAATTGAGATATGATGAGTAGATCTTCTTTGTTAAATTCGATACAATGCAATATTTATAGTATTTGTTTTGCTTTGTCATGAGACGCTTCGAGTGGCATTGTCAGAGATTTTGCAGTTTTCAACCACAATTGTAGCTTAAACTTTGAAGACTTGACCAAACTCTGCTGGCGACCTGCGGCTCGTGGTTCAACAAAACATTGGGGCGAACTGCGGGAGTTCACCGGGTTCGGAACATGCGCGAAACATGTGCAAAGCATTAGCGAACCACGGGCGGTGTTTGGAATGTTTTTGGAGCGACCTCCGTCCACCGCGGTGCGCCTGGGTTGCTACAGGCGGTGTTTGGACCTCAGCGACCCGGCAGATCTGTCCGCACGTCGATTCGACGGCCTCCTATCGAGCCTGAAAAGTGAGTTCAGAATCAAACACAGGCTAGATCGCCTTTGTTTTTAAGCGTTTGTTCCCGAGAGCGTCTGGGCGAAGGGTTCTTCAAAAAGAAGGAGGCGTAAATAGATCTACATATAAAAGATCTTCAAATCTGACATCTTCTCACACTTCACATCTTCTCTCACATCTTCTTCTCACATC